CCCTGATCAATTTCTGCGTGATTGTGTACATGGATGATATTTTGGTCTTTTCAAAAACACACGAGTACCACGTGGAACACATTGAGTGGGCTTTGCATGCACTGAAAGATGCAGGGTTCAAAGTGGCCTTGGAGAAAAGCGAGTTCTTCTTGTCGGAGATCTCATTCTTGGGGTATATCGTCGCGGTCGACGGACTAAAACCGGATCCGAGAAAGGTGGCAACAGTTCAAGACGCCCCGACGCCGGTCACACTCACCTAGGTTCGGGCTTTTCTAGGGCTGGGGTCCTATTACCGACGCTTCATCAAGGGGTTCGCCGGCATAGCGAAGCCCCTCACGAACCTGCTGAAGAAAGAAGAACAACTGATCTGGACGCCGAAATGCGAAGCGGCGTTTCARGCGTTGAAGGAGGCTCTGACATCTGCTCCTGTRTTGGCACGCCCCGACCYGGCAAGAMTGTTCGCACTGTACACAAACTGGCAGCCTCAGGCGATATCGGCGGTGCTGACTCAGCACGGCAAGGACGGAAGGGAGCACGTCATTGAGTATGCGTCCAAGACGCTGAGCCAGGCACAGRCTWATTAYGAAGCATGCAAAAGTGAATGYCTGGCGGTGGTGTGGGGSATTCAGCATTTCCGAYCGTATCTGTACGACCAGAAATTCGTGCTGGTAAYGGATCATCWGYCGCTGYTGTCCCTACGCAACAACACGRACTWCAYGGGGACGCTGGGCAGGTGGGCGGTGCGTCTGCAAGACTATGACTTCGACATCCGCCACCGTGCCACTCGGCAGCATGGTAACGCCGATGGATTAACGCGCCTTCTGCTGCCCAACAAGTGTCCCKCCAACGAGCGRCTCATTCYGTGGAGGCGAGAAGTYGCRGGGACGAAACCGCAYTATGGGGAGCTACACGTGCTGCRTAAGGACGAYGCCGGAGTCCGGAATGGAGGTTTCATCAAAGATGGCCGAYGCTATCTCTCTGCCCTCATCCCACTCYCTCGCTCTCTCGTCTAGCCCCAACTTGTCCCCTGAARCACACCTAAGTCCCTGTTTCTTTTGTRCCTTGCCCATGATCCCGGACCAAGAAGGGTCACATCCGGGAGGGCCYWGTTTTCTTTTATGGGYACAGTRTAGTCAGTGTCATACGGTCAAATCTCACGGACAGTGCGTTAGGTACYGAAGTGAAAAGACGTGGGTCTGTCCCAACTGWAGAACGGACCAAGTCCCTACCRAGAAGCGGTATCTGGACGCTAGAACAMCCRACGGATTTGCGCCAAGTGCCCGCCGGGCAGAAACCTGGACGGACCTTCYGTTGCTACGGAGACTGWCAGGCGACTCGTTGTCAGAACTTACCAAARCSGAACRGYGCAGAGTCACGGAGCGGGCGCAGGACTATYGCTGGYTGGGCCCGACGTTACAAAAACGGAAGGTCGATGACGACGGAGAGTCTAGCTGGTTGACGGTTCCACACCCTCTTGCTAGGTTCGATTGGACACGAGMTGCTCATGAGGAGGATGCGGTCCATTTCGCGGTCAAGTACACGGAAAAAAACCATCGAAAAAAACGGATGGTACTGGTCGGGAATTCGGGAAGATGTGRAATACATCGTTCAKAATYGYCCGGCCTGCGCGGCAGACAAGGCGTCGGTACAGATGCCTCAGACGATGGTTCCCACTCGTGTAGAGCGCCCCTTTCAGAGGGTTAGCATCGATACGACGGATATCAACGTTCCGAGAGGGCCCGTCGATCAGGGAGAGCTCAATGTTCTTTTAGTGGCCGTCGATCATTTTTCAAAATGGATCGAGGCGTAAACTATGACCAGCCGGAATTCGCAGGAAGTAGCCTGGTACGTAAATCGATTTTTGTACATGCATCTAGACGTAGAAGAAGTACACATGGACAATGGGTCGGAACTTCAAGGCAAAGTAGAACGTCACCTAGTCAGGACAGACGTTAAGATTATCTACTCACCGGGGCATTGGCCTCAAGCCAATGGCCTGGTAGAGAATGCCAACCGACTGATTAAGACGGCCCTTAGATGAAATATCACTGCGGGAGACACCCGACCCTCGCCGGTCATTGTCGATCACATTTTGGCCGTTTATCGGGCTACCCCACAGGGTAGTACTGGGGTATCCCCCTTTGAACTGAGAACCAATAGTGTCCCTCGGGTGTAATTGTCCCCCTTAGTAGGTACGGAAGTTAGAGCAACACGGGCCCAGAATCGAGACAAGGCCCGCCACTACATGGACTTAATGGCCAGGGCCTATCCCCCGTTAGCTCGCCGTCGACAGCAGGCCGTAGATCGGACACATCAACAGCAGATCCGTGACTACGAGGATCGACACGCGTCGGCGGGACCACTTTCCCGCTATAAAGTTGGGGACTTGGTGGAGGTACGGAAATCTGCGCGTTCCTCCAAGATCCACTCGCGCTACACAGGCATTTACGAGGTCACGGAAGTTGGCGCACAGGGACAGCAATCCGTGAAGCTGATTCCCCGTCACAACTTCCAGGCCCGACCGCTGACATGACACGCTGCCGCGCTCCGGCCCTTCCAGCCATCGCTAGGTCCCCTACGGACCCCCGCTCCTGCGAGATCACCCTCTCCTTCTTCATCCTCCTCCTCTTCCCGATCTGCCTCGTCCATTGGTGCTGAGAGTTTCAGGGAGCAGGATGGACCATCGCCAACCGGAGCATGGGCCCCTCGAGCACTTCCAGACGCCGCTTGCAGATTGCTTGTTGCGGCATCGATTTAATGAGGAGAGGCAGTGGCGTTACGACATCCAACAGGTGAACGTGTCAGTACCCGGGGTTGCTGATTTGGCAGCGTACTCGTTGCTTTGCGATCGGCTGACATACGCGGGAGTGTACGTGGACGTGACGCAGTTGCCTGGTCGGGAGACGACCCGAGTATTCATTGAGTTCCGTGCGCTCCAGGTGGCACCCAACTTCGTGCACAGCGTCGCCACCTTCATCGGAGACTTGACGTTCCTACCGCAGCAGAATCAGGAACCAGCGCGCAGCTTTGTGCGCAAATACGCGGTGGAAGCGGCGAGATCAGTGGCCAGAGTGCAAGGACGGGGGGGACACCGATTCACAGCCCACGAAGTGCTGCTGCGTAGGGCAGAGAACGGACCGATTGCGTTGGTGCCGCAGCTCCCCGCGCTTCTTCCTCCCGCTGCTCCTCTCAACCTCCAAGCTATTCCCCCTGTCTCGTACTAAATGCCTCCTTTCTTCTCCTACACCACCCTCCCCTACCAGCTCACGGAGGGCCCTTACCCCATGCACGAGGTCTCGGAGTATTTGGTGGAGCTAACTGACGTGGAGCCGCTGCCCTTCGCCGACGAAGACACGTGGGAGTTGCACCGTGCGCTGTACAAGTCGGTGGCGCTGGGGATGTTCCGGTTCTTCGTGGATCACGAAGACCACGCTATCGGGGAGCAGTTCGTCGTTTACTACGTCATCGCGCGGCCCAAGCCAGCGGAGAAGGAAGGGACAGTGGCATTGTACCCCTTCGCCCCGCTCCAGACAATCAATCCGGGATTGTTGGAGCTCATACATCTTGAGCTCCTCTCCATTGCGCAAGTGATCGCGAGCGAGGAGGAGGAGATCCAACCACGATTGCGGACGGCGACGGCCCCGCGGAGAACGTACAACGAGGTCGTCATCCCGGATTACATTGCGCAGCGCGCGGAGAGATTGGAGGACTTCCCGGAGGAAAGGACGTTGCATCCTCCCTCGTCGTATCCTCGACCAGCACCACCGAAGGCCCCCAAGAAGACGCCGTAGAGGAAGAGACGCCACCCGTCGCCAGGAGCGCAAGGTAGCAGGATCGACGGCTGCGAGGAGGTGATTCAACCCGCGAGTACACGGATTTCTGACCCTGTGCCTGGGAGCGCGGCGACGCTCGTTAAGGAGACTATCGTGCCATCGCCGCCCATGCCGCGGGTGCCCGATCCCAATCTTGATGGAGCCGGGCCATCATCATCAGCAGCAGCCGGAGGAGGAAGCCGAATGGGATTTCCGGATCCCATATCCAGACCCCCCGTCCTCGCGGGACCTCTCTGTTCCCGCCAGCCACCCCGGGGTGCCCCGGTCATTGACATTAGTAGTTCATCCGAGCCGGACGGTCCATCCGACCGAGGTGGACTTCATGGTGGAGCCCGCCACCATCAGGCTCGAGGCCATCGCGGGGGCGCCGCGCCCTGATCCGGCGTGGGAGCCATATCTGACACCCCCTTTCCAAGGGTGTATTGCGGCGCGATTGGCGGGGACGCTCATCTACGAGACCGGCCAACGTCCAAATGCAATGTACCACTTCCTGGTCTTAGCGGCGTAGAAGCGGGAGCGGCGGCCTTACACCGAGACTCATGTGGTGATGACGGGTCCAGGGCCCCGATCGGTGCGCAAGCGGGTGGTGCGAGCGGTAGCGGATCTGGCGCCACGTGTCCTCTCACATGTGCCCGGGGCTTTTCTTTACCCCTCATTCGTCCAGCATCACTTCCATGAGGAAGATGCGCCGACGACTCCTGCGGCAATGGCCGCTTTTCTTCCACCTATTCCGCCCCCTCTCAATCCCGACATAGATCACCTCCTCTGATCACCCTCGTCTACCTCTCCCTTGTCCTCTCCTTCTCCTTCTCCTCTTTTTCTTCTTCTTTTCCGGATCTAAAAGCTTGCGCGACGATACGCGCTGTATATATATCTATATATATATATATATATATATATATATATATAATATATATATATATATATATATAATATATATATATATATATATATATCCTTTTACTTACCGATCGGGCCAGCTGACGATGAAGGGGCCGCCCGATCGAATGTATACTATGGGAGGAGGCGATGGAGGATGCAGGATGCATCCACATAGATTAGGAAGATGATCGGGCCACCTAACGATGGAGAGGCCGCCCGATCATCCATGATATGATGGCATCAGCAGTCGGGAGACTGCTAATTTTTCGGAACCCCCTACGTATCACAGATGTGATAAGCTCAGATCCGTACCGCGCGGCTTGCCGTATCCTTGAGGAAAAATCCCGCGGAAGCCCCGAAGTATGGACGCAGATAGAAAGGGGGTTTTCTTTCTTTTTGCTTTTGTTTTCTTTTTTGAAACGACTTTTTCATTTTGTTTGGTTAATAACTCCCGTGGGTGAATAGCGGCCGCGGTATGAAAACCAAGAAACGGGTGCGGTTGGGACTTCTTGAATTTTTGCGCGCACAACCAAGCTCCGGTTTCTTCGCGCGTCTCGCATCCCCGTTTCTTGCTTTGCATCCTCGCGTCATCTTCCCTTCTTGCTGCGCGCGTTTTCCCCATGCAGGACTCTTCGTCTTCCCCTACGCCCAGCTTGATCCTTACCCCGTCTTCCTCCTCGAAGTGATTGGCTGCGTAGTTGGGATGCTCGGATCAATGTGGAAAGCGGAAAATCGCGCACCACTTGGACGAACACCCCAATCACGTAGCCATGCAATCCCGCGGATCGAACCCTCTAACTCCCCACCTCTCTTTCCTGTCCTGCTCATCTACACCCTGCGCTGCCCGCACCTCGCGCTGTTAACCCGCTGCCTCCCACGCTATAAATTTGCGCAACCCTCTCCTCTCCCTCTATTTGATCTCGGCTGCAATGCTGCGCGAGCTATGCGCGAGAGTCCGCTGCGCCGAACAGGCTCGACGAGCCCAAGGACGGGCGGAGTGACGACGTGGGGTGGACCCCGCGGTAGTCTCGGGGCGAAGCAGTCGGAGGGACTGAGCAGTGGTGGGGATTGGCACCGGCCGCGGCAGGGCCTTGTGGCTATGGTGGTCGGTGGTCTTGGGAAGTTTTGAAGGCTGCGCCTGGGGGCAGCAGTTAATTGATTTTTTTTTGTACAAGAAGGACTCGCTTTTATCTCCATTGCTGCTTTGTCTATGCATGTCGTGTGTGTGAAGCCCCGAGTGATGGGAGCTGGTTATGCGCATGAGTGATGTCGAAGGTCCATGGATGATTAGATGTCATGTCAAGGGTTGTTGATTGCATGCATGTATATGTGTATGTACTCGTCCGGGCGGGGATGGGGAAACTGAACTGGGGGACCGTCTACTTAGGAGTATGAATGTGTTGATCCGGTTGTTCCCCTCCCCTCCACGGCCTTTCCTGCGCTCTCGCGCGGGCTTGGCGTAACTCTCTCTCTCCCTTTTCGATCGCCTTCCTTTTGAACTAACAGTCATCGTCTTTTAGAGCTTCTCGTCCCCGTATCGGTGACGTCAACCGCCTGCGTCCGCGCGGACGGTCGACGCCCCCGCCAAGGGGAGAAAGCTTAGATTTCGTCATTCTCCCCCTACGCACCCACTTTCGAGAGAGAAGAGTTGCGACGACTGTTGTATGGATTCGGTGTTGGTTCGGATGACCGGGAACGCGGGATCTTGCCCGTGTTCATCACGTTCCTCCGATCGTCTTATTTCGCTACCGACCTTCCCCATCACAGATGACGACAGCGTCTACTGCGATGCGGACGTACGGCGCGCGCTGAGGCGGACGGAGCAAGTGTGTTTGCAAAACCCGCCTCGGGCTTGTGAGATAAGGGGGGACGGGTTTGTGTTGATTGATTGCTTTGATTCCCCGACTCTAATATTGCCTTATACGGGTTTAACGGTGTTGCCCTTGTCGGCCACTCATGCCGCGTGGCGACCGTAGTTTGATTGTCGCTGGTATCGCCAGGGGGACTCGTGTTCGTGGCGACGGTTGGTCCTGGGTTACGAGGGAGCGACACGTTTCCCCGAGCTTTCCCGCAGTGCGGGGGCGCTGCCCGCGCAATTTCGAATTCAGATGCCGGCGAGTCCTCCCGCCGCTTTACCCTCCCGAAAACTTTCGCGCGGGCTCTATGAGTCCGACGCCGAGGCTTGAAGGCCTCGAACCAACCACCTCTACAGCAAAAGACCCGAGGGTTCGGCCACTTCGTGAGGCCGATGACGAGGCCTGAAGGCTTCGAACCCACCATCTATCCCCGGATCCCATGACGGCCGGAGTTTTCGTCGTCTGCCGCCATGGCCTCCTCCCCTTGATGCCTTTTCCCGTCCCGATGCACGACGACAATTCATTTTATCGTTTCGTAGTAATCCGACCCCCGCATGACTTTGCGACGACAGTTCGACTCCGAGAAAAACCTCGGCCAAGAAACGAGAGTCTTCCGTTCCGTCCGGGAGACTCAACCCTTACGGCCAAAAATCCTCGGCCACGCCCCTCCTAGAACTCTGATCGGCGACCCCGTACGGGAAGCTGCGAGGGGGCGTGAGGTTGGTATCAGAGCTGATTCGTTTCGGCTCCGAGGTTTTCCTATGACGATTACCCTGTTTAAAGTTTCTCCTTTTTTCTTTTTGATCTTTATATTAGATTTTTCGCATTTTTGAGTAGGCTGGCTCCCCGTGGACGGAGGCCCGCGAATAGCAATCAAACCCGAGCGATAGGCCGGGCTCGCAACCCGCCTCCCGCGATGGTAGAAGCCGGAATTGGGGGTGAAAACGACGGCGACAAGCACACGGGGATGGCCAATCATCCCCTGTACTTTGTACCTCCTCCCTCCGAAGTTCCCATTTTTTTCTGAAGATTACACCGATCCTCGCATCTGGCTAGCTGCCTTGAAAGCCCAGGGCTGGTCGGACCAGTTGCTCCGAGAACGAATTCCYGGAAGGTTAGCYGGAACCGCTTTTGAGTGGTACGGACAAAACCCCTTCACTAATTGGGCAGCCTTCCAGAGGAAATTTCTCGATAGRTTTGATCACATCGCACCTGGTCAATGTCTCCGTTTAATAAAGGAATACACACAGCAGCSTCGGGAGACCTTGGCKAGATATGCTGAACRTTTTACGTACSTAGCCGAACKCTCCGGGGTGGATGAGAAAATGGTACGGACTGATTTCGTCAGAGGACTGTCMGACTCTCGTCTGYGGAAAAAGATCCGCAAGAAATGCAACCCTATAGAACATACCCTGACGGAGCTAATTCAGTACGCAATTAACTGCGGGAAAGAAAATTACGATGTGGGCYTGGACTCAGAATCCGACGAAGAWGACCCTTSGGGTGTTCGACGCAATAGCTACTCCGCTACGGCACRAATGTTCGAAGATCGCTTYGGGTTGGGACCRGCAAAAAAAGGCTCGGATCGGAAAGCTTCTTCCTCTGCTTCGGCCTCCYGTCGCTCTAGTCAAAYGCAAGGAAGCYRGGGCGAGGAAGAAGMATCYATGAAAGAAGTCGCGGCCCAACTAGTTMCGGTAGTAGCCCCGTTGACGGAGTTTGTTCAAGGTCTGCAACKGCAACGCATAGCCGCCGCACAACGGCAATAGGCGGCTATAGCTGCYGGAGCCCCTATGATAARACCGGWCGTGGCCGGGGCTGTCYCACCYCWACRCTGTTACAACTGTAATCAGCCAGGCCACCTTGCGAAAGATTGTCCGAAACCCCGAACTCAGGGCGGGCCCACCGGACCTTCCCAAATCCCGCTGGCTGCTCCCACCGCTGCAGGACAAGGGAGGGTAGCCACGGTAATGGACACAGGAACGACGGAGATGGTGACCCCGACGGCCACTGAGATAGGACCCGATGAGTATATGGCGGCAGCAATGTTCGAACCCGGGACCATCGAAGTGATACGTCACGTCCAACGGATTACCGAGGAAAGCAACCTCGGGTCGTGGCGACCAGGATTCGAGGATCTTGCGGTACCTGGTCCTGAATACAAGGATGGCCATATCGACATATTGGATGCCTTGAAGGCTCCGGATCTTCGGATCCCCGTCCCTATTCCCTATCTGCTAACCATTTCCGAAGTGGCTAACGAAAAGTTGATCGAACGGTGCCTCAAAAACAGGCGC